AAAGCATTTAGCCATTACCTCAGGAAAAACAGACCAAAATTAGGCAAAAGAAGGACAGCTTATCCAAAGGGACATCTACTGATGGCTTTTGGTCCTTGGGGACTCATTCATCGCAGGAGATTTGACGTCAATTCCCGCCCCTTCCTGTGTCTGCGCACAGATGCTCCCATCGAAAGGCCCAAAACCTTCTTCACAAAAAAATGAAAAAAAAAAAAAAAAAAGTCTCTCCTTTATGAGTGAGTGCAACGCCGAGGAAGCAGCCTGGTGCGGCGGCGGCGACGGTGAATCAGAGTTGTCAGGAACACGACGAGGAGCAGCAAACTCACATGGACACGCCGAGGTCTCACACATGGAGGAACACCAGGATGAAAAAAGCTCCACCGGTCAGCTTTAGAATCGCCATGTTCACCATTTGTGGTTCCAGCCCATCCACTTTCCAACTTTGTTTATTTACCTTCTGTAATTTGTTCTCACCACACACACACACACACACAAAGGTTCCTATTAACACTATGGGTTTTGTGCAATATTCCAAAAAAGTAAAAAATCAAGTTTCAACTAAACAATCTCAGCAAAAGCCTGCATTTGGAGACCTGTTCTCACAAAGTTGGGGTTGTCTTAAAACCCGTATTAAACGTCATAAAAACTGGGATGTTTTATCTTAACTGAGATATGCACTTCATCAAACTTTAAAGTAGAGTAGCGCAGACACACAATGTCTTTGGAATATATACGTTTTACAAAAACACATAGGTTATAAGGTCTGATCTGATGATTCTGCTGGAATAAAAGTTATATATATATATATGGATGCACACCTAGCCAGCTGATTATTGTACAAGACACTGTCACAAACGGGTGTATTGTGTGTCACTTAGACGGCAATTAAAAGGCTCGGTAAACAACGTGCGGGCTCCCCTGGGTGGGATCTGTGCAGTTTGTCAAGAGATGCACGCTGTGACTGGAGGTGAAATAAAAACACCAATCCAAACAATTATCCGCCGCCCTTTTCATCTCTCCTCTCACACACCTGAACCCATGTACGAGAGCGGTAGACCGCACCCAGAAGGAGTCCCGAGAGGACTTGCTGTGGGTTTACAGTTACGGCACGATTGTCGTAGCTTGTTTTGGATGAACCGGCACTCACTTCACGCAGTGGAACAGCTTAAGTTCTCAAATATGTTAGTTTTACTAAAAGCTGAGCTGCAGAATTTATTAAAGGTAAATATATTTCAGGGCCAGAAAGCTAAAAATCTTTACAGTATTAATGAGTAAATCCCACTTTGAACACAAAAAGAAAAAAATGGTGAACTCTCTTAAGATGTAGCTTGGATCATCATGGAAGACTGAAAATTATGGAGTGAGTACTCTTTTTTTTTTTCTCCCTCGAAAATCTTTCGTATTGAAAAACTGTGTGAGATTTGTGAAAATGAATCAATGAATGTGATGGATTTTCCTAATTCAAAACAGTCTCTCTCCTCAGTTGACTTTTTGCACCAGAGTTGTAAAACAACTGGAATCTGTCACAACAGATTGTTTGCATACTAATTTTTTGCTTTAAGAATTGTAGACTTTGAATTGCAGATTAGAAATACAAAGAATGTTTTAACTGCTAAGTAGACACTACTGTAGTGCAAATAAACCGTCACGAATAAAACATTAATGTACACTAGAACACTACCCTTGTCTTGGATGGCCATTATGTTTTGCAAATAACCCCCAATTTGTTGTGTTCCGACATCACTCTCTGGGAACATTTAACTGCATGCTTGGCTGGGTTGCTTGTTTTTAATTTTTCTTCTTCTTTTTTATAGCATATTTCTTTACTTCAGACTTGGAAATGGCTATAATCACCATGGGCCTGCATACAACTGAGAAGAAAAAGCAATAAAACTGATAAAAAAAACTTACTTAACTTACACTGAAGTGGATAGAAGTAGTAGAATTACAGGAATAAAGTTGTGTAATTGAGAGAGTAAAGTTGTGTAATTGAGAGAGTAAAGTTGTGAAATTGTCTTAGAAAACTAAACAAGCTATGTGTTAAGATGATAACCTTAAATTATTGGATTTTTCCCGATTATTTATTTGCATTTGAATGTAAAAATATAAAGACAGTCTTACTTTTTTCTTCTCTGGACTCACTTGCCATGCCATGGCTTTCAGTACATCTATAAGACAAGGGAGGGACAAAACACTTATGGCCATAGATTTTAAGTGGCAGAATGATAGATAGATCAGACACATGGGAGGCATGTTCAGAGGATACAAGCCAAAATTTCTGTCAGAGACAAAAATCCAACAGAGAGCGCTTTCTCAAATCCCACCGTCCTCCTCCTCCTCCTCCTCCTCCTCCTCTCCTTGGAGAGCTTTATCCCCTCTCATTGATGCTGTACTTTCCAGCCATACTTTCCCTATCCTTTAACCCCCCCCCGCCCCCCCTCCTGCTCTGCTCTCCCTCACTTTTTATGGCTCTCCTCTTTCCCAATGTCCTCCATCTGTCTCTGCTCCTTTCCCTCGTCTTGCTGTTCTTCCCCTTCTCTCCGCCACTCATCACCGAGACGATGACAGAACTTCCCGGGCACATGTTGCTAAAACATCCAGAGTCTGTGGAAGAGCACCAACACACACACACACACACACACACACACACACAGACCAATTCGCTAGACACATGCCGATGGGATTAAAACAACTGTCCTTCACCAACCTATTTGATGGACCGTGCATGAGAAGCAAACTGAAGTCTGTGCGTCTAATATTTTACCATCAAAGACAATCCAAAATACCCTCCATTCTACATTTCTAAGAATCTCCATTCAGTTGTTTACACACAACAAAGCAAATGAGTAGGAACATGAGTTTGGTGTTTGCCACCGAAACTGAACTGAAAGAAGTACTCTGAGGAAGACAGCATTAAAACCAAACTACAGCTAAAATGGCTTGTTCTGTAATTCTTTCCTTCGGCTCAGTGTTTTTTTTTTTTTTTTGAATGCTACGACTTGCAACAAAGAGCACAGAATAAATTCTCATGCCACAGTTAGGGGTGATTACTAACAGAACTGCACAACCAAGAAACCACTTAAATAGAACCTGTCTGACAACATGGGCTAAAAGATCTGAAAAAGCAGTATGTGTTGTGATCTAAAGAAACATGAGAACAGATGAGATAAATGGGCAAACCACATCGAAAGCCATTATCTACAAGTAGGAAAAACATGAAAGACTGGCAAACACTTCAACAGCAGCATTCATTACTATAAGAAAGAGATAGAGCAATGAAGAAATCAATTAAAGAGTTCAGAGGAAAGAAGCACTGCCAAGTAAGACGAACGAGATCTGTCTTATATTTGAATAAAACATGTCGATGTTTTCTGCAGACATTCATGGATAACAATATGCTTTGGGAGGTGTGTCTGGACATCGGATGTGAAGCTAATAGTGCATTTAAGAAAACAACTTTATGTTGACAAACTCAAGGCAAATTTAGATGCTGCGGCTTAACCTTACACTAAATCCGGCAAAGAAGAGTCAAACAAATGTCCTCTATAATGCAGAAGTCTTGTTGCCATGAAGGTGGTAGTCCTAGGGTGCCACAAACAGCTCTTAGAAGTGAATTTTATAAAGCGGGGTTAGTCTACTTTATTCAAAGGACTGTGTGTGTTTTGAAGCATGGTAGTGGTGGGTTGTTGATCTGGGCTTGCTTTAATGAAAATGGAAGCGATGCGACTTGCAATCAGACTAGATCATGAATTCCCTGACATGCCAACGCTTACAGAGTTACATTTTAGGCCATTTGTTCGACAGCTGAAGTTGAACAGAAATACTCCAGTTCAACAGAACAATGCCTTCAAGCCTTGCAGGAAAATTTGCAGTGGATGCAAAAACAAATGGGAAATTACAGGGTGAAGTAAAATAACGATTACATTGAGTTATTGGTGTTAAAAGCTCTCGAATCAGGGCGTAACCGCTTGTTTGAGCGCCTTGTGCATTTTGACTTACGAGGAGATTTATTTTGTATATTTTAAGACCATATGAGGAACCAGCTGAGCCTCCCTGATGTTTACCAGCTTGAAATAAAATGTTGCTATGACTGCACGTCTGGCTTATTTAATAGTGAATGGTCTCTCCGGATCCTTCGAGTGAACACTTGGCGTCCTTATCGACCTTATATTGTCAGCTATTTGGAACAATAAAAAAAAAATAAAAAAAATACATATCTGGATTACATGAAAACGATTTTCGTAAAAGACGCTGTGAATACACCAGACACGTTCCTTTGTTGCCAGATGTTTTTTGTTTCTTCTTTTATTACTCAGGGAAAATAATGACTGTACTATCTGGCCAGAAATCTACATTTGTTTACTTTCTAGAGCCAGTTGGGAAACTTGCTTTCCCACTATTCAGAACTGAGAGCGATAGCTCAGGCACGTTTTTCTGGGTGTTGTTCGACCAGACGGCACGAAACCCAGCATTGCATTTGCACTTGTCTATATCAAGGCAGATAAGTTGTGCGGGTCCAGATTACTGATTACGTCCTCTGTGTATACAACCCCGCGCATCTATCAACTGAAACATAACACTGGTGTGAATTGCTCCAAGTGCGAGTGGTCGAAGTACTCGGCGGTGGATGAGGACAACTGTCTGTGTGTGTTACATGTGTTTTTCATTGCTTTGTTCGCCTATTTGAGCCTGTTTCTCACCTCCAAATCTCCGGGGATTTATCCAAAAGGAAGTTTGAGAGAGCTCTGAAGAATAGACTGTTCTTAAGTTACAAATGCAAGGACAAAAACTGTGATATTTCTCAACAGATTTGTCTTTAAATTTAACGCAGAACCACTTTTTGCTCATTTAGTTTTTGCTCATATATATATATATATATATATATATATATATATTTTTTTTTTTTTTTTTTTTTTTTTAAGGGAAAAACCAAAAAAAAAAAAAAAAATTTTTTAAAGGGGAAAAAAAAAATTAAACCCCTTTTAAAANAAATTACACTTGCTCTGCCGCCAAAACAAGATCGGAGGTGGTGGGGGAGAGGGCTCACTACAGTGTCGGTGGAGCCAATCCCAGTTGTGTGAGAACTATGTCAAAGTTCGCAAAACATGTGGAGCTTTTCAAAATCCTTGAAGCCCATACACATTTAATGTAAGTAATTGGATGAAATGAAAGTCGTTGCATTGAAAATATATTTACTAAATATTAAGTACATTACTTGGATGAACTTTGAACCAATGACACATTTCCGTTTTACTCTGCAAAAACTTTGCTCAAGCAACTAGCAAATTGGCTGTGGATTTTTTTTTCTTCTATTTTTTGAACCGTTATAGGCTAATGTATATTTTTTACACGTTTGCTGCATAATCAGCAGACAGTACGTCAACAATGTGAATATAATTGTTCAGACCACCTCCGAAATCAAAGCACAGTTGAACGGGTTATACACATTACGTTAGGGTCAGGGCTGCATGTCCTTTATTAGCAGGATTCAATTATTGTGGAGAGAACGCTACGTTCGTGAGAAAACATTGCTATCTTGAAACATTACTTGAAATGAGACACATTTTTTCTTGTTCTAAGTCTTTATTGAAGTTCAAAACAAAAGGTACACATTGTAGAACAGCTGAAAATCTGAAGAATTAAAAGAAGTAGCCCACTTTGGTTTGGAACATGATAGGGTGACGGTGACGTCATCGGCCAAAATTATAACTTTTAATATCTTGAAAACAAAAGCTGCACAAACGACAGTTTTAACTGCACAAACCTGCACAAACGAAGCACTAACGAACTAGCCCACTTTGGTTTGTTTTGGCGCAAGATGGGGTGACGGTGAACTCTAGATGACCTAAAAAATAATTTTTAATATCTCAGAAACCAAAACTGCACAAACGAAAATTTTAACGGCACAAACCTGCACAAACGGAG